TTATTATTATTATTATTTATTATTATTATTATTATTATTTATTATTTATTATTATTTTTATTTTTTATTATTATTATTATTATTATTATTATTATTATTAATATTATTATTATTATTATTATTATTATTATCATCTACGTACTAACAACACACACACACACACACACACCACATACCCCAACACACACACACACACCACAAACACACACACACACACACCACAAAACACACACACACACACACACACACACACACACACACACACACACACACACACACACACACACCACAACACACACACGTGAGGCCCCCATAACACCATCTGTGAGGAATTACCACACCACGTGAGGCCCCTATAACACCATCTTAGGGAATCATTACACCACGTGAGGCCCTCATAACACCATCTGTGAGGGAATTACTACACCACGTGAGGCCCCTCATAACACCATCTGTGAGGGAATTACTACACCACGTGAGGCCCTCATAACACCATCTGTGAGGGAACACACCACGTGAGGCCCCTCATAACACCATCTGTGAGGGAATTACTACACCACGGCCCCTCATAACACCATCTGTGAGAGAATTACTACACCACGTGAGGCCCTCATAACACCATCTGTGAGGGAACTACTACACCACGTGAAGTCCCTCCTCTACACCATCTGGGAGGGTTACTGCACCTACGTTTTTGCTGTTCAACACCTACATTAATCTGTATGTTCACTGTATGTTCCTTCACCTTCTCTAACAAAGCTTTTGTTAAACCACCAATGTATGAATGTCATTTATGTCCAATATATTTTCAGCCTGGCTGCAGAACTTTTTCAAACAAAAATTATATATATACACATACACACCCACAACACACACACCACAACACACACACACACACACACCACAAAAACACACACACACACACACACCACAAAACACACACACACCACAACATACACACACGCGCAATCAAAAACCCTAATCGACTCTTACAAAATATAATCCCCGATAATCCGCGCTGAACGCTCCGCTCACTATACCGACTGGGTATAGTCATTTTTCGCGCGCAAATCAACGCTATTCAAAACAGGATTACATATTCCATGGCTTAAATGTATCGTTTGAGGACTGTGTTAATGGAGCCTATACTAATGAAAGCAAATTGGCTGTTTTTTTTTGTGTGTGTATGATTGATGGTTTGACCGATGTGATAAAAGTTGATTTTAATAATTGGAAATACGATAATGATGAAGATGATGATGGTGGTGGTGATACTACTACTACTACTAGCACTACTACTACTACTACTACTACTACTACTACTACTACTACTACTACTACTACTACTTTTTTTTTTTTATAACGTGGCCTCCAGCCTCCCCCAATAGCCACACCTTCGCCACCATTCATTTACCTTAATATTAAATATCCTAATACATAAGAAGCTATCCTATCTGTGTTAAATTAGTTGAGCTGCAGATCTATGCGGCATTCAGTGACTGTAGCCTCATAGTCAATATCTGCAGCAGTTGTCGGAGTAGGGGCAGAAGCTCTCGTTCCCCTGAAGGCAGAGCAAAGCCGACCGAAGGAGAGAGAAGGACAGTCGACATCTCATCCAGGCTGTGACATAACTTCTGGGCTGCTGCTTCTGTTCGGAGATCAGCTCCGCGAGTCTGGCGTAGAAACATCTTGCACTTGGGCCCATCCCACCAGAGGTTGTGAACACTAGAGGAGTGAAGCTGCCTTGATCAACATTTTGAATTCTCTCCCCATATGCCCTTCTCTTGTCGTTCTCGTTCCTCCTATGTGCAGCATCGAGAGCTAGGTTACGGTGACATGCGGCCATGGGATAAAAAATCCTGATGTCGAAGAAAGCTCGCTGTCCCCGCGTCCAGAATCCTCGAGCACTGACGTCCACACGGGCTTCGTTAGAAGTGTTTGAAGTCCTGTGTTGGAAGATCTCGCCATCCAGTGGAAGGAGGGTCCGTTCTACCATGACGTCCCGGCAGATTTCCTTCAACATATTTGCTGTGAGATCCCTTACCTCGTCATGCCTCATGCATATGAAGCCCCCCTTCTTGCAAACCATGGCGTGATCGCCATCATAGGAATAGCCACACACGCATTGGGAGGGCAAACCATCTACTGGCCAACCGTACCTTAGAGCAATGGCATCTGTAAATTCTTGTTTGTTAAGGCTGAAACCATTTGCCCTTATCGGTAACGTAGTTAGCCAGTTCGAGGCGCCCACCTCCTGCGCTATAGCTACTTTTTTTGTCAAATTTTCTGGAACCAGCAGCAATAGTTGCTGCAACATGTCATTTTGGCAGTGCTGCCGATCTGTTGTAATGGACCTACGGATCTTATTAACTTCGCTGGTGTCCACTTCCCCTGTTGCATTCTGGGCTATTATGTGGTCAGTGAGGGCTGCCGTGAGCTTAAGTGAATTTTGATGTTCAGAGTCAGCAATCTCCTCTGGATTAGTTAGTCCCATCCCTCCCAGTCTTGGTGGAAGTGCAAGAAGTGTTCTTTCTACTACTACTACTACTACTACTACTACTACTACTACTACTACTACTACTACTACTACTACTACTACTACTACTACTACTACTACTACTACTACTACTACTACTACTACTACTACTACTACTTCTAATAATAATAATAATCACCTGAGTCAGACAATTCAATACACCAAGCCAATAATTAATTACTACACATAGACCAACTTGACTGTGAACTAAAACAGTAATGTGACTGGTAATGAACTGGGTACCTAAGATGAGTTCAGACAGTCATTAGTTCACAGTCCGAGAGAATTAACTGAACTTAGGCTAAAAATGTCATGCAGTTAACTAATATTCTGAAGGTGAGTTAGTTGCTGCGGGTGTGGGGATACAGGTGTGGGTATACAGGTGTGGGTATATTGGTGAAGGGTATACAGGTGAAATTCTCTATATACAGGTGTGTGAATCTACAGGTGTGTGATTATCTAAATAACTGTGAGTCTATACATGTGTGAGTGATATACAGGTGTGTAAATCTAAGTACAGGTGTGATTCTCATTATACAGATCTGTAAATCTATGTACAAGTGGGAAAGTCGAGAGTCTAATATACAGATGTTTAAATGTGTGTACAGGTGTGTAAATGTGTGTACCGGTGTGTGTGACTCTTAATTACTTACCTTGCCGAAGTGGGTGAGGCCCCTGGGAGAGTTAGGGTCTTCCAGGTCCGTCTCCTTGGCCCTGGCGCTCTCAGCCCTGAAAGTAAAGCCGTAATGGAGATTGAGAATAACAGTACTTAATAAAAGCTGAAATAGACGTTTGGAGGGTTGGGTAGTGGAGGGAGACAACAGGTGTGTAATATAGAGTGTGGAGGGAGACAACAGGTGTGTAATATAGAGTGTGGAGGGAGACAACAGGTGTGTAATATAGAGTGTGGAGGGGAGACAACAGGTGTGTAATAAGAGGTGGAGGAAAACAGGTGTGTAATATAATGTGGAGGAGACAACAGGTGTGTAATATAGAGGTGGAGGGAGACAACAGGTGTGTAATATAGTGTGTGAGGAGACAACAGGTGTGTAATATAGAGTGTGGAGGGAGACAACAGGTGTGTAATATAGAGTGTGGAGGAGACAAAGGTGTGTAAGTGTGGGAGACAACAGGTGTAATGAGTGTGGAGGAGACAACAGGGTGTGTAATATAGAGTGTGGAGGGAGACAACAGGTGCGTAATATAGAGTGTGGAGGGAGACAACAGGTGTGTAATATAGGTGTGGAGGGAGACAACAGGGGTGTGTACAAAGTGTGGAGGGAGACACAGGTGTGGGGAGACTAACCAGGGCGTAGGCACGTGTGGGGAGACTCACCAGGGCGTGCTGCAGGTGTGGGGAAATCACCAGGGCGTGCTGCAGGTGTGGGGAGACTCACCCAGGCGTGCTGCAGGTGTGGGGGAGACTCACCAGGGCGTGCTGCAGGTGTGGGTGAGACTCACCAGGGCGTGCTGCAGGTGTGGGGAGACTCACCAGGGCGTGTGCTGCAGGTGGGGGAGACTCACCAGGGCTGCAGGTGTGGGGAGACTCACCAGGGCGTGCAGCAGGTGTGGGGAGACTCACCAGGCGTGCTGCAGGTGTGGGGAGACTCACCAGGGCGTGCTGCAGGTGTGGGGAGACCACCAGGGGCGTGCTGCAGGTGTGGGGAGACTCACCAGGGCGCTGTGCGTGGGGTGAGACTCACCAGGGCGTGCTGCAGGTGTGGGGGAGACTCACCAGGGCGTGCTGCAGGTGTGTGGGGAGACTCACCAGGGCGTGCTGCAGGTGTGGGAGACTCACCAGGGCGTGCTGCAGGTGGGGAGACTCACCAGGGCGTGCTGCAGGTGGGAGACTCACCAGGGCGTGCTGCAGGTGTGGGAGACTCACCAGGGCGTGCTGCAGGTGTGGGGAGACTCACCAGGGCGTGCTGCAGGTGTGGGTGAGACCCCAGGGCGTGCTGCAGGTGTGGGTGAGACTCACCAGGGCGTGCTGCAGGTGTGGGGGAGACTCACCAGGGCGTGCTGCAGGTGTGGGGTGAGACTCACCAGGGCGTGCTGCAGGTGTGGGGAGACTCACCAGGGCGTGCTGCAGGTGTGGGGGAGACTCACCAGGGCGTGCTGCAGGTGTGGGGAGACTCACCAGGGCGTGCTGCAGGTGTGAGACTCACCAGGGCGCTGCAGGTGTGGGTGAGACTCACCAGGTGCTGCAGGTGGGGGAGACTCACCAGGGCGTGCTGCAGGTGGGGGAGACTCACCAGGGCGTGCTGCAGGTGTGGGAGACTCACCAGGGCGGTGCTGCAGTGGGAGACTCACCAGGGCGTGCTGCAGGTGTGGGGAGACTCACCAGGGCGCAGGTGTGGGGGAGACTCACCAGGGCGTGCTGCAGGTGTGGGGAGACTCACCAGGGCGTGCTGCAGGTGTGGGGGAGACTCACCAGGTGTGGGGGAGACTCACCATGGCGTGCTGG